GGGTCTCTCAGGTCCAGTATGGCTTGGTGAGAATCCAAATTTCCCATCCAGCCAACTCCTTCCCAATTATCTACCCTGGGTGCTCCCCCAGGCCCAGTTTTCCCTCCCAGACAGCCAGTAGCAGGTGCAAGTTGGGGGCAGCTCCCTGTTCAGATTGACTGTTCCCTCCTCAAGCCCCCAAGCCCGCTGCCAGGGAGGGCCCAAAGTGAGGTGGCATGAGGCACAGGATGTGTTTTGTGGGAGTGGAATTCCTGGATGGAGTCCATGAGAATCTAAACAACCATCCGGTGAGGGTGGAGTGGGAAAAGCCCCAGGGGAATGCGAGGGGGGTGGGGGGACTTGGAGAGCCTGGTTTCTGGTTTTAACGGCCACTAATTCACTGTGTGTCCTTGGACAAGTCCTAGCCCCAGCCTGGGCTTCAGTTTCATTTTCTGGAAAGTGTGTGTGTGCTAACTCATCTCAGGCCACTTCCAGCTCCAGGTCCTGTGTTTTGGAAGCAGGCCCCAGGGAGGGGGTGTTGTGGGTTGGCTTAGTTGTGAGTGGTAAATACCGTCAGGTACAGGGGTCAGGCCATGCCCTAGAGCAGCGGTTCTCAACCTGTGGGTCGCGACCCCTTTGGCGGTCGAACGACCCTTTCACAGGGGTCACCTAAGACCAGGGGTCCTCAAACTACGGCCCACGGGCCACATGCAAATACAAATATTGTATTTGTTCCCGTTTTGTTTTTTGATATCTTATATCAAAATAAGATATGTGCAGTGTGCATAGGAATTTGTTCATAGTTTTTTTTTAAACTGTAGTCCGGCCCTCCAGCGGTCTGAGGGACAGTGAACTGGCCCCCTGTTTAAAAAGTTTGAGGACCCTTGCCTAAGACCATCCTGCATATCAGATATTTACATTACAATTCATAACAGTAGCAACATTACAGTTATGAAGTAGCAACAAAAATAATTTTATGGTTGGGTCACAACATGAGGAACTGTAGTTAAAGGGCCAGAAGGTTGAGAACCACTGCCTTAGGGGCACCCGGTCAGACCTGTGCCCGTCAACAGGCACAGAACCCTCGCCATTGCTGGATGCAGGCAGGGCCCCAATTCTCTGCTACTGGAATCATGTTTTGCCCGTTTTCAAGGACTTCATCTTCCCAGAGTCCCTTCCTGCCTGCTATGTCCAACGAGGAGGAAGGGGAACTATGTTCATTTTACAGGCCAAGCAGCCAAGGATAACTAGGGCTGAGTGTCTATCTTGTGTTTAGCATCTTACAGCCTAACCCAGATTTGAACCCTGTGAAGTAGATGGCATTAGCAGCTCCCTGTCACAGGGGCAAATTGAGGCTCCTGTCCAAGGCCATTCGGGGATGTGTGTGACCCACGGGCAGGGGATCCTTCCCCTTCTCGGAAGACTGCTTTCCCCAGGGAGGGGCTTAGTGGCTGGCCCAGTCTCCTCTGGCCAGCTGCGTACAGGCACCCAGGCGGAGTTTCAGTAACAGCTGCGGTTTTGAACTGCTTCCCTCCCAAAGGAGCCTGAGTGCATCTGTTGGTACCTCCCTCGCAGAGGGGCTCAGTGATCACAGCCAGAATGGCTCTCTTTCACTGGCAGCCTGTTGTGTGCCAGGCACTGCTCGTCACTCTTCACATTCGTTATCTTGGTCAAGATGCCCGGGATGAGGAAACTGAGCGGAGACGCGAAGTCACCTGTCCAAGTGGCAAGCCAAGAGGTGGGAGAGTCTCCTTGCATCAGACCACCCTAAAGGCTTACCAGGCCCAGCACCCCCTCTCCTGTCAGTCCTCGGATGCCTAGTGCCCACAGCCCTGTGGGCAGGCCTGGGCCCCCTGCTTACTCATTTTACCAGGGTGTGACCTGGAGCAGCTCCAAACCCAACCCTGGGTGTGGCCGCTTGCTTTGTGGCCAGGCTGCAAAGTGCAGGGTGAGCAGGATTTGTCAGTGAGCTGCTGTTTAAAGGGAACCTCGGGCACTGGCCAGAGATGGCAGCCACGTTCAGTGGAGAAGGAAGGCCAGAGCCCAGGACTCTGCGCTCTAGTGCTTTTGTCGGTGGCGTCCCTACTCCAGCCAAGCACACTGCATCATCGCCTTCCATCCCCGAGGGCACCTGTGAAGAGGGTGGGGTTCCGCACTGTTCTCCTTTCCCTTTAATCTCTCGACATTTTCCAAATTTCCTCTGAGAACCATGAAAGAAAAGGAACATTTTAACCAACAACCCTACAAGACGGGCCGGAGGAGGAAATAAATGTCGGCCCAGAGAGGCGAGGCAGCGAGTCCCACGCTGGGATCTGGAAGTCAGGCTCTCAAGCAAGGCCTCAAACTTGCTCCTACCCCCAGCGTCTAACTTGGGGCCTGGGGCTGAGGAGACGCCTGGCTCTCCCTGTGTGACCTTGGGCAGGCCGCTTCTCCTCCGCCCTCCTCGCCTTGCTGGTTGTGTCTAGCGGGCTCTGGCCTGAGAAAGGAGCCTGGTCCTCTGCCTTGGGATTGGCTGGGTGGCCTCTAACCTTAACCAGGCCTTTAAGAAACAGCCAAAGGGCTGCCCACGAGGGTCCAGGCTAGAGCCAGGCTGGCCGCCGGGCATGGTTCCAGACTTTTGCTCTTGGCACGTCCCTGTCTTTTCAGCCTACCTCTGAACTTTCCCCCTTCTGCTGCTCCTGGCGCCGTAGTGATAGCACCTCTCCTGCGTGAGCAAAGCGCTTTGCTGCGCTGTCTCACGGAATCCTGAGCAGAGGGTGAGCAGCTTAGCTCCATTTTACAGGTGGGACTCAAGCAGTCAACTGACTAGGCCAGCTAAGAAGTGGGTGGGAGGGCTACATGGGGACCCAGGGGCACCTGAGTCCAAGGCTTGTGCTCAGCCTCTCCTTGGTCCTCGTCCTGGGCTCGTCCTCTGCCACGTGTGTGCTGCAGGCTCAGGCCCGCCCATGGCTGACCTTGCCCTGGACACTGCATAAAGGTGACATGTCCTCGGGTGAGGGACACTTTGCTGCTTAGGGACTCAGAGTGCAGGATAAGGGTGAGAGACGGGAGAGGACTTGTGTGTGTAAAAGTGATGGGGGCAGGAGGGTATAGGCAGGCCTTGGCCCAAATTCCAGCAGATTCTGAGGGAATGTGTGTGGGATGGAGCGGAGGCAGCCTGGTGCATGGCTTTGGAATCAGACAGACCTGGGTTCAAGCTCTGGCTCTGCCCTTTGGCTGTGTGACCGTGGGCACATGGCGAACCTCTCTGAGTCTCCACTTATCTTCCAAGAGAGATTGCCAATACTGATGTCGCAGGACTGGTGAGCACGTGATAGGCCGGCAAGGTACTCTGTTCAAGGTCCTCCCTCCTTCCCATTTGCAGGTAGTGGGGTTCTTCCTGGTATGCTCTGGGACTCAGCAGGGCTGGCCCCTGTCCGGTAGGGGAGGTGGTCGGGGTGGGGGAGATTCTGGCTTGCCCTACCTCTGCCTCAGGGAGAACTCAGCCTGACTTCCCTTTTCCCTGCCCTTGGCATTCCTTTGGAGGAATGGATGAAGGATTCTGGGATCAATAACTTTTATCTGGATTGGCAAAAGCCCTTGGAGCTCACCAAGTCTCAGTTACTTCAGCCATAAGATGAGGATTAGTGGTGTTGGGAAGATTGAGTGAAGTGAGGAATGCGGGGGCACTAGAGGCAAGATGGGGCCAGAGAAGGTCACCTTCCCTAGAATCGAGGATGTCACTAGCTGGGAGGTTAGAAAAGGAATATTCCAGAGAGACTTCAAGAGGAGTGAGCAGGGAGGCATTTGGATTATGTCCAGGTCTGGGTAGGTGTGGAGGAGAGAAACCGAGGAGCAATGCTCCTCAAACCAATCCAAGAAGACTTCCTGGAGCAGGTGGGGGCGGGAGAGGGGGGGCACCCCTGAGGGGAGCTTAGAGCTAGAACTGTCATCGCCTCCCACACCTGTCAGCCCAGCTGTGCTCAGCAGCGGTTAGAAGTCTCCACCCTGCCGAGCATGACCCCGCCACCAAAGGTTAAAATAGGCCTCTCTGCTCCAACCAGGGTAAGGGTGACTGGGGGCGGGGAGGGAGAAAACAGCTCAGCGACCTCCAGAAGTGTGTGTAGAGAGGCTGAGATTGGGTTTTGGAGAAGGCACTGCGTTTCCCAAACATCCACTGTGGGCTGAGCACGCTTTCTGCCCCGTTTTACAAAGGAGGAGACAGCTCCTAGGTGTGGAGCATTTATCCACGTCACACGGCTCCCCTGTGAAGGAGCTGGGAGGTGCAAGCCCAGGTCTCTGACCCCCGTGTCCCAGTGCCCCAGTGCCCTAGCCCTGCCCCTGGCCAACCCTAACCGGGAGAGAGGCCCCTTCCGGGCCAGTTCAGCTTCTGGGCCTAATGGGGCCGGGTGGCAATGGGGTGTAGAGGAGCAGATGGGTCTGTGGTTTGATTTCCCCAGCAGGTGTTTCCCAAGCTTGGCAGGAACAGGGAGGGGGAGCAGGGGACCTCAGCTGCTTGTCCTTAAGACACAGGGGAAGGATTCATTGTCTGCCCCTCTCCACAAAGAAAGAATGGCAAATGGAGTCTATTCAGGAGGCCCTGGGCCCTTGAGCTGGAACCCAAACACGGGGTGGGGGATGTTTGCACTGCTTCCCAATGCGGGCACCTCCCTGAGGTGTGGCACTGATCCAGGAAGTCCCCTGGGCCTGGGTGGGTGCCCAGCCCCACCCTGATAAGGGCCAGCTGTGGGGCTGTGATGGGCACCCACTGTGGCTGCACCAGCTGCTTCTGCAGAGAGGGGGGAGGGAGTGCTCTCCCCAGTCTGATGTGGTTTAGGCCCCACCCACTCCTTCCTGCATCATCCTCTGTGCGTGGGGGAAGGGGCAGATGTGGAAGTGACCTTGTGGCCTGTTATTAAGGAACTCTGAGCTCTTGGCTTTGGTAGGGTCTCAAGTGCCTTGGGCCTCGGAGGATGGGAGTGTCGTGTGCCTCTCAGAAAATAGGATGTCCTTCCCGTGAAAGGTCACTTTTAAGGTCATTGATATTTCCTTACCAAGTACAGTGTTGTTTCAGCATGATTGGTGGTAAACTGAGGCAGGAG